CCACGTTAGACGAATTTCAGACTAAAATTCACGTGATTTATTCTACTTTTTGAGCTTCGCTTAAATTCACATTATCGCAGCTCTTTTTATAGGAATATATAGCAAATATATTACTCGAGTATAGGGGAATCAAATTTAACGTATAATTATATAAAACTTAAGTTAATAAACTTAAATCTTACTACTACTAGTAGTAGTGATAGTCTTATTTTTCAGTATAACTTTCTTTCTAATTCTCTATTTAAGTTTATTCCTTCTACTATTTCTCTAATTCTATCTAATCATCTACTTTATATTTATTATAAATATAAATATAAACTTGAATATATTTACTATACTACTTGAGTATATCTCTACTAGATCTCTTAATACAATCTAATCCAATATCAGAGTAGTATATAAACTCTTATCTTATCTCATCTTTCCAATTTTCTCTTTCTCTCCAATCCAACCTTCCACTGTTTCCATTCCCTCATCCTTATCTCATTTTATCCCATCCCATCTTATCCCATCTCATCCCGTTCCACCCATTATATCCTATCCTATTCTATTTCCTCCCCTTTTTCTCTATAACACTAACTTTTCATCTCATCTCATCTCATTTCCTCTTTCTTTTCCCCTCTTCATCCCACCCCAATCTCGCCTCCCCATCAGTATCCATCCACCACACACCATCACTCTCACCCTCAAAACCTTCCATATAAAACCCCAAGTATTATTCCGATTCAGCCCTATCATATTCATCACCAACCCCCCATATATACACCCACCCAAACCCACACTCACACCCACTATCTAGCAACTAATACACAATCTACAACTACTCGAGATAAATATAAATATAAATATTCCAAACACCCCACTAACAGTCTAATCACACCAAACCAAACTAACACCATAAACCCTCTTTCCTCATTTATATTTAGTATATTTAGTAAGCCTATATATTTAGATTATACTTAATTCAAGTTATTCTATGCATATTCAATTATATAGTTGCTAGTGTACTTAGTTATGATCTAATTAATTATAATATTTATATAACAAATTCCCGAAGATATACTCGAGTATATTAAATAACATTAACTTTAATATCAAATTAACACACATATGATCTCCCTTCGGGGATTTTAATAGTCGTTTATATTCCAATCATCGCATATACTATAGTATAATATATAAGATCCGCATCCGAGTCAACCAAGCAAGCAACCGTGACATGACGTGACCGTCATAAATCCTTATTTTTGGCCCGGAACTTAAAATAATAAAGGATAACAATAGTAATGCTCGAGTAAATAGGTGTATCATGATTCAAGAACGGATAATTTATGTGGGATAGAAGACTCATGGAGAATACTCCTAGGGCTCAATTGAGATTGAGAAAAGATCTTTAGATTCTTATTTTTTGGTCATCTTTTAGCTGTAGCTATTTACCATGAACTTGCTGATGATACTATTTTCCCATTCTATGCCATTCAACCTCATCTCTTCCATCTCATCTCATCAAATAAGCTCCACTAAAGCGTCCTCTCCAACTCAAGTAACTCCGCAAACTCCTCATTCATCGCCACCAATGCTTTCTTTTCAGGCAATGCACACGGCTTCCTAGGCAATCCACCATATTCATAATATTTCTCCAACCCAACCTTCACACTCACGAATCCACCCTTGATAGCCACCCAATCACCTCTCGCAACAATGGCTTGTAGTTCTCTCGCCTCTTTGAGCTTTCCTTCTTCGAAAAGTCTCATGATTTTTACGCATGCTTTGGGTGCTAGGTTGGCTAATCCGGCTATCACTCCGTGCCCCCCTACGACCATTGTCTGTAGGGTGAAATCTGCGGAGCCACCGAGAGTGAGGAACGAAGGCTTGACAGATGCGACTATACGTGCTAATTTGCCCGTATTTCCACATGTCAGTTTGACGCCCACGATATTGTGATGAGCAGAAAGTGTGAGGATGTCATCGGAACTGAGATCAAATCCGCCTTGTGCGGCGGGGTAGTTGTATATGATGATGGGTATGGGACTTGCATCGGCAACTTGCGTGAAGAAATCCAATATGAGTTGAGGGTTGAGGAGCGATGCGTAGTAACTTGGTGGGAGAACAATTGCATAGTCTCCGCCTGATTCTTTGGCTTCGGTGCAGAGTACAACGGTTTCCTTGACGGATTGCGTACCGCAGCCTACGATGATAGGCATTGATAATGCTCCTGCTTTATCGAGAGCTTTGCGTGTACTGGAGGTGATGACGGAGCGTTCGATATGCGTGAGGTGGACTGCTTCACCGTTTGAACCATGGGTAACGAGACCTGCAATTCCGGAAGTGGCGAGCCTAGAAGCATGTTTGGCGACTGTGAAGATGTCGACTTCTTCATGCACTGTCGAGAAGAATGCAACTGTTGGGACGTAGACTCCTGGTACTAATGGACGATGTTCACTTGCATGACCATTGCCATTCGCATGAGTTTGTGAGACAGTCATCGTGTTTGGGATCTGAGATATTTCACAATGAATGAAGAGAGAAGGCTTGAAGATTGACTGTTCTGCCTCAAGAAAATGACATTGAGAATGAAAGAACTTGGGGAGAAAGACAAAATAAACAAATGGAAAGGAAGTGCGAATCTGAATTTGGCTCGTTAGGCTGGAATTGGAACTATCCATATCCCAGATCTTATTCGGCACTTACGTACAAACTTACCAAGGTGGAGGCTCTGATCATGAAACCGACTCAACAAATCATATTCCAGCATATTACTCTCACCAATGCCCTAAGATATCAAGCTTTTAGATATGTATAGTCTCGGGCGCCACTTCCCCCATACAAATATACGACCCCCACGTCTATTCAGCACACAGCACGCAGACAATTCCCAAAAGTGGATATCACGTTTCGGAGGAGAATTACCGGTATATTATAATCTTAGCAGTTTGATGTGAGAGAGAGAGAGAGAGTGAGTGAGAGATATGGGAGTGGATCTCATGAAGTGTGTCATCATACCCCACACTAGGAGTCTGGGAGTCTAGGACATGCTGACCCCCACACTAAGTACCTATACCTAGTTAGTTTAGTTTTAGAGTTTGATCATGTGAGAGTTGAGCGAGTAAGGTAAGAGCAAGAATGGGAATCATGGGATGTACCTAGTAGGTAAGTAGGTTAGGTTATAGTGGAGTGATGGAATGGGGAGATCCACTGCGGGGCGGAAGTAGGAAATAGTTGGGGTAGATCATTCGTTTTGGGGGTAAATATAATGTAAACAAAATCATAAAGAGAAGGAGGTTTTGAAGGTTTTGATGCAAATGCAAGTATCATTGTTGGTCGTATGCTTGGAGAAGGTGTTCATGTCCTAATTCAGTAATAGCTGTAAAGATCAGTAAGACTGTTGGTGGGTAGTATCGTACGATCGCGAGTATGATGGTGTTCTGGCCATCTCGATGTCATATTCTTCCTGAAAAGGTTGAGAAGGACTAGCTCCGGTGAGAGCTTCTGCTCGTCTATTATCTATAAAGTATTGAATATAATAATAGCGGATACATTATCCAATTCTGGCTGCTATTCCTATGACTTGATTAGTCTTCTAAGAAATGTATAGGTATGTAGACGAACACGTTGAACCCCACCAACACATGTAGAAAGAAAATTCAAGTGATCGAGGTAACCTACATAGAGATGCGTCCGGATATGTATGACACCCGACCCGAACAAGTCAGGCGTTAGACCTGATATGCACCACCGTTTGTGTAATTTGATAGCTGTATTACGGGCTAAATGGGTATAGGAATCAGATCTTGGTTTCCAATGTCGGATCTCGGAAGAAAGGACAAGAAATAGAAATAGGTGGATATTGCAGAACCAATGAAGAATAGCCAGAGCTTCCAAGGTAGTTCATGGACCAATGAACAACGGGCAAGCAAGGATACTGAAGGGTGCTCGATAAAACACGCCCTCTATTTGTTTTTGCTAAGCGCCCATTCTGATCAGGGACTACACAACCTGGCGCGAAATCGTTCGCTTTTAATGACATCGAAGCCCATTCATTCAATAACTCTTTCATGAACCACAGTTTCTGCTTTGGCAACCATATAGACGTGGACAGTAAGTCATATTCAAATGGGATAAGCTTGTTTTAAAGATCTGAGATATAGTCAGTAATCTACATAGACAATACGAGCATGCAGCGTCAAACTCCAACTAATACCTAATAATAAAACAAAGTAAGATACACACCAAACTCAGCAACAGCAAGAGAGCCATTTGTTCCCCAGATCCTCTAATCCCTTCATCTATCATCTATCCCCATCGCGCTGCCTAAGAAAACTGTACTGTAATGTAATGGAATAGTGATAGCAAAGTAAAAAAAGCTCCTAAAAAATTTTCAAAAAATTATACCGGCAATTGAATCAGCAAGCGGGGTGTCGATGAAAATTGAGAGCTTCTGGCGTGGGGGTTGAGTGGAGTATAGGGTGTGCATGATCGGTTAAAAGTGGAATTTTATAGCGTGCTTAGGCTTAGGCTCGGCACGCCTTGCCGATAGATGGATAGGATACCGTAAATAGATAGCCTGATTGATTCCGAGACCGCTGTTTGATGCCGGGTGAGCTTTTATTTTGAAAAAATATATATATATACACGGATTCATATACTATCGATAGGACTTTTGTTTTGTTAGTATATAGTAGGTAATCCCGTATGATTTCTGTTATAATAGGAGCTAAATGTTGATTAGAATGAGTGGTGGTGATAATAGTAACTGTGGTGAATATGGAATCTTCGCTTCAATGGTGACCAGATACCGGTATTCAGGTAGAATGTGTTGTTGGTGCTACCTCGGGTGTAAGTTGTAAGTTGTAAGTTGTAAGTTGTAACACTGTGATACATGATCGGAATATCATTCTTATATATTAATATTCCCCTACTACTATGGATTTCCGATCCTCTAGTTGTCTGTCTGAGCCTGTCTGTCTTGTTCACAATAATTCATATACACTCACTATCAAACTTCCCTCACCAACAAAACAACCCCCTCTATCTGAAAGTACATTCAACGAGACAATGACTTCGACGACCGAAGAAGAGTATCCCCTCGATCGAAGTCCTCTAGGATCCTCCCGGTGAGTCTAGATTATCAAAACAGACGTCTAATATCCATCCATACACTAAAACTACCAAGTCTCTACACCCAACACTTTCTCTGGCAAAGACTCATCGGACATCTTCTCCACCCCGATATTCCCATCCAAGAAAACATGAAGATAGCCGATATAGCATGTGGAACCGGGTAAGTACCAAGTATTCCATAACACCAAGTACTCCATACATGAAACTCACCCAAACCTCACACCACTAACCAAAAGCCAAGAATCTGGCTCCTAGACCTCGCCCAACAACTTTCCAAATCCAACACCCCCGCCCAACTAGACGGATTCGACATCTCCACCGCTCAATACCCTCCTTCCGAATTACTTCCCCCAAACCTCACTTTACAAACGCTTGATATCTTTAAACCCATTCCTCATGCGTGGAGGGGACAGTATGACGTGATACATATTGCACTTCTCTGTCTCGTGATACGCGATGGGGATCCTCGATCGGTTTTGGATAATTTGTTGACTTTGCTGAGTTTGTTTCCTGTTGCTTGATTGGAGGGCGGTTGTTTTTGTGGAGTATGCTAATAGTACTGACTGACATTGATTGTATTATGTATAGAGCCGGGCGGATATATCCAATGGAAAGAAGTTGATTTCAGCATGATGCATATCACGTCCTACAATCCCGGTATATCGACCTGCGAACTAAGCAAATTGAAACAATGGATATATGAAGTTCCCCTGAAGAAATATCCCGACTTTGAGTAAGATTTCCCCACCTCCATCCTCCTTTTTCAGCCATCCCATCCCTTTCTCCCCTCCTTCTCACATCCCATCACATCTCATCCCATCACATCATCCCATCACATCAACACACCGTTTAAAAAACCCCTCTAACCCCCCCTCCCCATCCCTAGCTGGATCCGCCACCTCAGCACCATCTTCCACGAACGCGACCTCACCATCCTATCCGAGCAAATTGTAATCCCCGAAGCCGAAATCACTTATGCGTGGAATTGGATGCATATGGATGGGATTCAAGAATTGATTACTGTACATGTTAATGCTAATGCTAATATTGCAGCTGGGGGATCGCGAGAGAGAGAGGGGGAGAGGGAGAGAGAGCTGCTGGAATTGCATCGGAGGGCTAAGGAGGAGGTAAGGGGTGGTGCTTGTTTGGTTATGGCTTTGGTGAATGTTGTGGGGAGGAAGGATTGGTTTGGTTGATGGGGATGGGGATGGATTTTTGTGTGATGAGGGTGAGGGGTGTTTTGTATCGTTTGATGAGTATCAAGTGACGTGTCGAAATACGGCTTGGAACAGAATGATTGGAATGTTCAGATGAGTACTATCAGCCCCCTAACTTCTTAACATTCCATCTCGATATTGTATCTTGAAATCTTCAGATAAGTACTTGTGAATGTTGAAGTCGAAAGTAGGGATTCAGTACTATCATCTCATCTTCCCGGAACGGCCTTTAAAATCTAGCTTGGCTACTATTGACCTTTTTTCTCGTGCTAGGGTATTCGTCGAAACATCGAGGGTTGTATATCACAGTAGTAATTTTAAGACATTGATTGAGAAGTACGGTTTATTCAGATGAAACTATCATACTTGACGTCTAGCACAACCGCCTTGCGGCTGCTGCTCCCAGATCTAGGCCAAACATCTGTAGACAAATATGAAGGGGTTTGATTGGAATGAAGTCTTCCTTATTTCCAATAGATGATAGGTGACGTGTTGGTACCATTGATGGAAGTGGTTTCTAGCCAACCAGATACTGGTTTCCTTACTAGCAACGACACAGGATTCGTTGTCCTTTTGATCGTAATTGTTTAATGCTTTCTTAAATAATCGCCATAAGTACCCGGAAAAAGCCCGACACGCTTTCTAGAGGCTACAATGTCACGGTGCAATAAGACTTCTATTGCAATAAGACTATTCACTTATTATTGTCTCTATAACATCGCTATATATACAGTACGGCACTCGGTATATACAACGTCCAACAAAATACGCATTGCTCAAAGAACGATTCTTACTTACTATCATGTCATATCTTACTGGAGTGAGACATCTTCTTCTCATCCCACCTCCTGTCTAAATCCGTTTCCCCAAGCTCACCATCTCCATCCCCCTCCATTGTCCTCTCCCCATCCCCAAATACATCCTTCAAACCCCCATCATATGCAGCCCAGACATACCTAAACAATGCCCCCATTATGTGAGCTAGCCAATCCGGGATCTTCCCATTCTTATCTGCAAAAAGTTTTCCCAGTCCAAACACCCCCATAATCATGGGGAGTAAAGCTGCCATTAAAAATATCCGGGCCATCTTTTGTCTCGGGGTCGTAGCAGTATACGATCTAATACCACGCAAATAGTCTATATATTCCTCTGGCAGATTATGCTCCTCAGCTCCATCCGTTATTAATTTGAGGTAGCGCGCAGATGGTTGCGCATAATTGGGATCTGGACGAGTAACTCGACTTGGATCTTTGTCGTTGAACGGACAGAGCAAAGTATGTGCTTGGAATGGTGTGCCGCTGGGATTCGGGTCCACAATCTTGCTACCGTCCGGAAGAACGAAGCATTGAACGAGTTCATCTTTATATGAAGCACCGCCTCCTTCCGTAGCAACTATAGTTCTGTAGTCATCGAGAGTTACTTCGTAGACTACGCCTATCAATCCCTTATGCCATCTCGTTTTGTGGTAGTCTTTCGATCGGGGTGGATCCGACTGATTCCCCTTGAATTGGCAATTTGCGAAACAAGGCTCTGTGTAAGGTATTCCAGCTAAATCGAACGTGAGGTCGATTGCGGGAATATGAACGTTGACGGCGCTTAAGGGTTTGATGCCGCGCTTGCCCTTGAACGTCTCGGCAGACAGGTTGGAGCCATAAGCTAGGTAGAGAACGGTTGTTGGTTCTTCACCGTACGATGAGCTCGGTCGAAGTAGAGGCCCAGAGCTCAATTCTAGTCGAGAAATTGATGTCTGAGGTACTTTGGTTGGCTGGGGAACGCTTGCCAGTGGTTTAAGGACGTACAAATCCCAGAATCTTTGCAGTGCCGCGTATGGTTTCTCGTCGCTCGCCATGAGTAAAGAATGTATGAAGTTCAGGGGGGGAAGATTGGTTCGGTTGCAACAAACGCAATCGAGGCACGAAATGACGAATCTACAGATTTGAAGAAATGGGTACCTTACTGTATTAATACCTCCATGCTTATCAAGCTTTGGAAATGTTGATTAAATTGTTGATTGATTCTAAGACCGTTCTTCCGCCGTTCACTCACTGTTCGGACTTCAAAACTACCCGTTTCCCGTATTAAACGCCGCTCTAGTATTATATAAATTTATACTAAAGCAGCGTACTCTAGATGTCACGTGTCTATAAGGATTGCTCTAATTTCGAGCCAACTTGCAACAAAACCCCTCACTGCGCAGGAACAAACATACCGTTCTCGACTACAAACCGCTGAGATGAGGCCTGGCTTCTATGCCAGGATTACTTCTCAAGCACACGCATGATATTACAGCTCGTTGTATTAGGCCACAAAACTTGTATATTATGACCGTGAACCCAATTCTTGATAAGAGTTTTGGGGAAATTTCTGATCTGATACTACCACAGGGAAAAGTAACTTAAATATTCACATCTGCAATTGCAAGCCATTATACACACAATGCGTTTCCAGTGTATCTAGCCTCGAGACTTCTTAACTGTCTAGTCTTTAGTCTTGGTCTGCTGCTCACGATTCTCCTTCGCATTACTCGCTACATTTCCTTCTAACCCATACGACATTTTCCCAGGTGGAGGCTTCATCTCGAAGGTCTCTCGTATCACTGCGTAGCTGTAATAACCACACCTGGCGATGGGCTGGACTTTACGCAGATCGACCATTCCATCCGTCAGAACTTTATCCGAGATATGGACCCCCACGACCTTGCCAATGATGATATCCACAGTGCCCATGGGAGGATTTCCCGGCAATCTCAAAGTGGAATGATAAGTGCATTCGAACCTGATGGGCGACTCTTCCACCATAGGAACAACGTGTTTGAGGTTTGTTGATGGAATCTTTGTGAGACCAGCTTTCACGAACTCATCGACACCATATGCAACTTGCTCGGATGTGATGTTTACAGCTTCTCGAAGGTCCCATGTGGACATGTTCCACACGAATGAGCCAGTTTGCTCAACATTTATGGTGGTATCTTTTCGAACATTGGCATCGGTTTGGTTGGCCGAAAACATCACATATGGCGGGTCGAAAGTCAGATTGTTGAATTGACTACCAGAAATTTGTGTTAATACCTATCACTTACTCCTCCTCGGAAGCGTACGACTCATGGGATTATAAGAGCTGATAATACAAGCACATACCTGTACGGCGCAAGGTTATCTTTGCCATCCTGTGATCTAGTAGAGATCCAACCAATAGGTCTAGGTACAACACAAGCCTATCATTCCTGTTAGAGAATGATGTATGGAGAAGGTCTCCAAGGTCCTTACTTTGAAGGGGTCTCGCGGGAGGTTGTGATCGGTAACACCGGGTTCGTAGAAAACCATGATTTTTCCAATGTCCTAGATACTAAGGTATAACCACGGATGTTAGAGCAGTAGTATCTCGGTGATAACAGCGAGCGATAGTTGGAAGATGGTAAGATTTGCAAGACTTTGTATCAACTTCTGCCCCTCTATTTGTCTTACGTTCGATGATTGTAAGAGGAATCTGGACAATGGATACTCGGTCGACCTTACAGCCTACAAACAGTACGTCTCGGAGAAATCTGAAACAATCGTTGACCTTGAAACAGAGATATTGTATCTACTCCTTCCTTCACTCCACGACTAGTGATAAGTCTTTGGGAGTGGTTATAGCGGGGTAACCTTATGTGATACCTAGGATTAATCCCGGTAGATGTCACGGGAATAGCATTCGCCCCGACCCCTCCGAACTAATCCGAACCATTTCGAAGTAGGAGTGCTCTATCAATTCGGAGGTATATTCGTTAAATCGGTTCGCCTTGTACATGTCTTTGAGGATATAAAACAAACTTGGAGCATCATCGACAAGATGAATTATCATCAGTATCATCTTCACAGTTTTACAACAAGAACATTTTTTTATAATCAAAATGTCAAACTCAAAGAGCTATCATCTTTCCCAATCCAACCAGGACTTGCCTCATATGAGCTTCAGATCCTTCGTTGAAGCATTGAAGGAAGATGGAGATTTGGTGGAAATCAACGATGAGATCGATCCCTACTTGGAGGCTGGCGCTACCATTCGCAAGGTCTGTGAGACAAATGGACAAGCACCTCTTTTCAACAACATGAAAGGTGGAAAAGATGGACTATGAGGATTCTTGGTGCTCCAGCTTCCCTTCGCAGCAATCCAGAACAAAAGTATGGACGTGTCGCACGCCATCTCGGACTGCCACCCACAGCCGGCATGAAGGAGATACTTGACAAGATGTTGTCCGCTGCCCACAAATAACCCATCCCACTCAAACGTTGTTCAGGATGGACCAGTTAAGGAAAACAAGCTTTTCGGTGATGAGTTTGATCTCAACAGTCTCCCATCTCCATTTATTCATCAGACCGACGGTGGAAAGTACATCCAGACTTATGGTATGCACATCGTCCAAACACCAGATAAGTCATGGACAAACTGGTCGATTGCACGCGCTTGGTTCACGATAAGAATCACCTGGCTGGATTCGTCATTGAGCCCCAACACATTTGGTAAATCCATCAAATGTAGAAGAAGGAGAAGAAAGACGTACCATGGGCCCTAGCCTTTGGTGTCTCGCCAGCTGCTATCATGGCCTCCAGCATGCCTATCCCCGATGGCGTTACAGAAGCCGGTTACATCGGCGCCATGACAGGCCATGCCCTCGATGTTTTCAAGTGCGAAACCAACGACCTCTACGTCCCCGCCAACGCTGACATTGTCCTCGAAGGTACTCTTTCAATCACCGAAACCGCTCCCGAAGGCCCATTTGGCGAAATGCACGACTATGTTTTCCTAGGTGACACTCATCCATGGCCAAAATACAAAGTAAACGCCATCACCTATCGCAACAACGCCATCATGCCTGTCTCAAATTGCGGTCGCATCACCGATGAAACGCAAACCCTTATAGGATCTCTCGCCGCCGCCGAAATTCGCAGGATATGCCAAGATGCCGGACTCCCCGTCACCGATGTATTTGCACCATTCGAGAGCCAAGTCACATGGGTAGCCCTCAAGATCGACATTGTCAAACTGGCCGCCATGAGCATCACCCCCTCAGATTTCCGCAAGAAAATCGGTGATCTAGTCTTCTACCACAAAGACGGCTACACCATCCACCGTCTCATTCTCTGCGGTACAGATATTGACGTCTACGACGTGAAAGATATCCTCTATAATTTTTCCACTAGATGCAGACCTGGCACCGATGAGTCGCTCTATGAAGAGTGTAGAGGATTCCCGCTCATTCCATATATGTCGCATGGAACGGCGTCGCTGAGTCAAGGGGGGAAAAGTGGTTTCCGATGCGTTGATGCCGTCGGAATATGCCAAGGGCGAACAGGATCGGCAACAGGCGAGCTTTAAACATTCGTTTCCGCAAGAGTTGCAGGATGTTGGTTAATGCAAAGTGGGCGAAGTGGGGATTTTCTGCGTCGCAGAGTTAGAGGGGGGGATGGAGAGGATGGAGTTCTGTGTATAGGTGTTTGTTTTGTGTACTTGTATGGTTTATAGATTGGATATAGAGAATAGATATAGAGAATAAAATCATTCACCAATTTTGTCGTCGCATATGGGACCCGCTACAGGTCTCATAGTATGATAAGCTTGTACCTACATTGGATAAAAAACAACAGCACTCACCCACCCAAGCCTCCCGATTAGATCCATTCAACGATAGTACCCTACTCCCCTACTCGAGTACATTTCAAAAACAACCCATCCAATAACCCCCTAACATCTTCTCCAAACCCAACCCAAACTCTCTCAGATATCCATCTCAAATCCGTCCCGTCTGAGCCACTCAATTCTATCATCCCATCCCATCCCATCCCATCAAACTTATACTGTACATACCATCAAAAACCCCAAACCCCAAACTTTCCACCAAATATCTTCCTATTTTAAATCTTCTCTACAACTCTTGTACATCCCAATCCCTTATCGAATCTGAAAATAACACACACTTGAATTTATATTATGATTCATCCTATCTCATTCCACTTCTATTTTAATTCCACTTCTTCTTTTATGAAAAGCATAGCATAACATACATTCAAGCATCCCATTTATTTGAAAATAAAATAGCACCAGGCTGATGTGTACAGTGTACTCGAGTATGAAATGTGAATTAATCGCTAGTGACTTACTCCTGCCCCCTTCTGGAGGAGATCCAAGAAGGCATAAGATTTCGTGATTCAAATTCAGAGAGAGAGAAAGAGTTGGGGGATATGACGCGAGAATCGAAAGAGAGCAGGATGAGTGGAGAGGCATGAGTCGCGCGACTCATGACTAACGATCCCTTTCCAACATAATGTTAGTTTCGGACAAAACTTCGGAATTGCGTCGGATTTACTCGGGAGGACAGCTCCACGCAGGAGCGAGATGGTATATCGGGTTAAAAAAAGCTTCAAAGTTAGCCAGCACATAGATTGGTGAGATCGTATATGGTTCAGAAGCAGTCTCACTCAGGCTGAATGTGTTTTCTTCAATCCAAGAAATTATCATCTTCTTAGAAATATAACTCCGTCACGATTCATTTTGGTTATCCCATCGCACACAACGAGTCTAATATAATTTTCAGCGAGACTTTCTTGCAAAAACAAATCATGTTAGATCAGTCTCTATCCACCCGATCCAGACGCATTGCATACAAATGGAACTTCGAACGGCGTCGAACAACGACGAAAAACGCATCGTTATTGGGATGACGGGCGCGACGGGCGCAATCCTTGGCATCAAACTTCTCATAACCTTAAGACGACTGAACGTTGAGACACAGCTTGTTATCAGTCAATGGGCTGAAGCCACCATGAAGTACGAAACGGACTATACTCCAGCCAATGTTCGGGCACTTGCCGATCACGTGCACTCGAATCACGACCAAGCCGCTCCTATATCAAGTGGTTCTTTCCATGCCAATGGCATGATCATTTTCCCGTGCAGTATGAAGACACTTGCAGCTGTCAATGCAGAATACTGCGACGACCTCATCTCCCGAGCAGCGGATGTGATGTTGAAAGAGCGACGTCGATTGGTCCTCGCCGTAAGAGAAACTCCTTTGAGTGAGATTCATAAATATGTTGGATGTCACGAGGGCTGGGGCAATCATTTGTCCGGCAATGCCAGCGTTTTATACAAAACCTGGCTCGATAGACGATCTGGTCGACCAGATGGTGGGGAGAATGTTAGATTTGTTTGATATCGACACCGGTGATTTTGAGAGATGGAATGGATTCCAGAAGGAGTAGGGTACCCATTTACTGGGATTTGTACGAATATATCGGCATTGGCTTTGGCGTTACAGGTATTGTAGAAGGAATGAGGGCTTCAAAGTTGGAGAAATATATGTACCGGTACTCGAGTACACGTAAATAGATCCGAGGAAATAATGTGAAATCAGAGTTGCATGTTAGTTGCTGGACCTATTTTCAGATTTTCAGAGCTTGGCTTGCGCTTTCCGGATTTATGCTTTTGTAGATAATCGAGACACCTGCTGCAATCAAATTGGAGAAAGATGAAAGTAGACAGAAAACGTATTATCTTCAAAATGCTCATGTTCGCTGAGTATATAGTGTTGATGTATTCTCCGAATTATTCTTCATTATTTTGAAAGTATGGAAACACCAAGTCGAACATGATTAGTCAGCGACTTTCTCCATCAAGGTTTGCGTGGAACTTGTTCCTTAAGTTCACACTAATAACATAATCTCTACCTCCACTTCCAGATAATACAAATTTTAATAATGGCTCTCGTCTCTGGACCCGGCCGAGCAGGTTCTGCTGCTCTGCCAGAAGAACTTCAGCTCGCGATTGAACCCCATGTGAAATATATACAGAGTCTCGACTCCGTAGGTATTCATCCTCCTTGCATCCCCGCATTTGCTAATATCGGCTACTTGTAGCGCAAAGATGAGCTCGAATATTGGCACACAGAACACCTACGATTAAACGGACTCTACTGGGGACTCACCGCACTTCATTTACTCGGTCGACCTGATGCGCTGCCAAGACGAGAAACAATCGATTTTGTCTTAAGCTGCCAACATAACAATGGTGGATTTGGAGCTGCCCCAGGCCATGATGCACATTTGCTGTACACAGTCAGTGCCGTACAGACATTAGTGATGGTAGATGCGGTTGAAGATCTGGAGAAGAATCTGGATGGCAATGGAAAGGATTTAGTTGGGAAATGTGAGTGCATACGAATTTACCATTCGAGGGGGACTACCATTAATGGGTTTGATGTGCAGACCTCGCGGACCTACAAAATAGGAATACGGGAACCTTTGCAGGGGACGAGTGGGGCGAGGAAGATACTAGGTTTCTCTACGCAGCGCTGAATGCTCTTTCACTGCTTCACTTTTTACCCCTGGTAGATGTTGATAACGCAGTCAACTACATTGTTTCGTGTGCGAATTTCGATGGGGGTTATGGAGTTAGTCCTGGGGCTGAATCACATTCGGGACAAATCTTTGCGTGTTTGGGTGCATTGTCAATTGCGAAGCGGATAGACGTGGTCAACATCGATAAGCTGGGTAGATGGCTGAGTGAGAGGCAAGTAGAGTGCGGTGGATTGAATGGCAGACCTGAGAAAAAAGAGGACGTATGTTACAGCTGGTGGGTCGCGACGAGTCTCGCTATGATCGGAAGGCTACATTGGATCGATGGAGATAAGCTCGCCAATTTCATTCTGAAGTGTCAGGATACAGAGGAAGGTGGATTTGCTGATAGACCGGGTGATATGGTCGATGTTTTCCATACCTGCTTTGGTGTGGCCGGCTTGTCTCTTCTAGGTTTTCCTGGTGTCGAAGAGGTTGATCCCATCTAGTAAGTTTTCACACCCACAACCATCTGTTTCCACAGGCTAAATCTCTCTAGTTGTATGCCGAAGAGAATTACTGAGCGAGCTCTAGGGTAGTCTTAGGATGCCCTCTGCTCGAATGATATAATGAATAATGAATTAAGGAAACGTATTCCATAAACTCCTCGATCAATGCCTCGATCAATGCCTCGTAACTTTGGGTGTTTTTAGTAAGTCAGTGGAGTAAGGGTTCTTCGCGCAGGTCCAGTCACGGTGGTAGAACTTTCATTTAAATTCTTCAATACTCTTTACCAATATCTGGATATACTTTTCCCTATTATTCCTTACTGTAATCAAAACTATATACTTAACTCCTGCCATCTAATAGCCTTACACCGATTAAAGAGTGGTATCAGGATACAAGGCAGGAGAATAGCAATTCATTGACCATGAGGTGTTCATGACTTGATAGTGGTATGAACACTCAAATGTCAATGGTACATCATAATAAAGTAACAATGGTATGTGTCCCAGTATACTCTTCATCAGTGGTTTGATGTCTGGGCAGATACTTTCCGACCTTAGAGTGGGAGTTAAATTGAGTAACCAGGAAGAATGAAATAAATAATTGAAAGATGGGATGAGATGGGATGAGATGAGAACCTGTGAAAGTACCTAGTCAAAGTAGTCAACTAGTTCACACAAGATTTACTCTGCTCTCCTGCATCAGTCTCGCTACATAAAAAAGTTGGTGGGAATATCCCCTATGATTTATATCTTCATTCGAACAACGAAGTTTGAGTTTGAATCATTAAGTTGGGGGTCCTCCAAATTTACTATTTATTGATTTCCTCAAGAGTAATTCGATTATGGTTTCTATATATTGTTAATCAATTAAATACTATTTGAGTCTTATTTCCTGTTTACTATCATTGTTGTGGTCATCATCATTGTAATTGTCATTGTCGTGACGGTCATCTACAAGTAAAGTGTGATAAAGAATAGAGAAGGGCTTTGTAGGTGATGTGGAGTTGTCAACTACCACCGTGACTCTGATATAAATCCTCGAGACAACGACAATGATTCTCTCCATTCGATAGACAAATCCATAACGACACATTTCACTACGTTGTCTTCATTTTCACAATCATATCTGCAGTCACTATTATTTCTTTCAATACTTCTTTCTTTATTGTATTCTCAATCTACTTGTGAACAATCGACAACGACCCTCTCCATTCAATAGACAAATCCATAACGACATATTCCACTACTACATTGTCTTCATTTTCACAATTATATCTCAGGCTGCACACTACTTTTTTCAAGACTTCTTTTTCTATTGTATTCTCAATCTACTTTTGAACAATTCTGTGCAATATTGACAGCGGTATCCAGTCCTTCCACAGCATAATTCGAGGGTTTTCGCCAGTAAACCACTCACCTTGTTCTTAATTTCATATCTTTATTACAAAAACTATCTTATTCCTAATCAGTCTCTCTCTATTAACAGTCTGACACCGGTACACATATCTCGATATTCTCCTCATACACTCTTTTCTATTCCCCTTGCCGAGACCATGTTAGCTTGATCTGGCAGGACCTCCCCGGTGCAACTACCTCTTCTGGAATTCCCGATACTTTACTGAACGTCAACGCTCCTTCCATTCTTTTCTCTTCAGCATACAGTTTAACTCTCACTCTCGATCGTTATCACTTTTCTTCCTTCCGTCAATCATCACTCATCACTCACCTCTTTACCATATGCAAGTTCTTTCTTACTCAACTGTCATATTTTGAGGAAACCATCTCCTTCACACAAATTTGGAGAAGTAATCGACGACTTGCTACCTTTGCTCATTCCCATGGACGATTAGGAGCTGTAGCATTTATTTAGATCAATCTGTATGTTTTTGCTCTCTTAAACCTTTCTACACAACTCAATTCCTTTGGTCTTCAACAATTACGCCTTGAGATTCAAAGGATCTTTTCGGGCCACAGCAGAAAACAATGCCTTTTCCATTGCACGGAATCGGCATAACTGTTGCCATTTGAGCAACTTAAACCCACGGGAACAGACGTTTGCAGAGTTTCCGCTTCTGTCTCTTTTGCCAATCTGCCTTTAACTATGCACATTCCCTTCTTGTGGATTACTCAATTGCTAATTACTCTAAATGGATAGCTGCAGCCAAAATGTCGAAGAACCACACCAATATCCCGCTGCATTGCAGTATTTGCCCAAAGAATCCTCAATTCTCCGATGTATCTCATCTTCTTACCCATACTTCTTCCAAGGCCCATTTATCAAATTATTTCAAGCTTAAAATTCGGGCTGCCTCAGAATTGACAGCAAAGGTTCAACTGGACAATTTCGAGGATTGGTATGATAACTATGATCTAGAACGACTACTGTCCGAAAGACTCGCCTCGAAAGACCAGAAGAAAGCTGCCAAGGACAAGAAGGTCAGGAACAATAAGGCTATAGTAAATCTTGCCCTGTGAACGGAATGCTATATGAGAATACTGACAGGAGCACAAATAGCCCAGACCAGCAAAAATCAAGAAAGAAATCGACGATATCTTCGGCGATGAGTCCAATTTGGCTCCGATTTTTCGAGCTCCTGTCCCAAGAATGCATCTTTGGCCAACTACAACAAACACCAATATCAATAGCAATAACAATGCATCTACATCTAACTCTGATATGGGAAGCGAGTGGGATCATAATACTTTGTACGCAACACCAACAACTAGACGCCAGATTCCAGGCTATGCACTTCAAAAAACACCTTCCGCAACAGAGACAGCATCAGTTACCACCAAGTAAGTCGTGGTTCATGGATCATTCTTGGAATGGCACCGTACTAATCAAGTCTCATATAGTCTTACTACGCCACTAAAGGAGGAAGGGGCAGATGCAGAAATTATAGAGAAGCTCTCGGACAGTGCAAAGTTGAAGGGTGTGTTCTGGCCTGGCATGGATCTCTTTGATTCTGCCACAGCTGAAATGAAGCGTATGAGAAATCAGAGGAAAGATGGCTCGATCCTTGAACTGATGATGGCCGCGTCTGCTGAGGTCCAGCCCACTGAAACCTCCTACCACCCTGATGGAGCATTCAGAACTTCCAGGAACATTTTTGGTCCTCTTTCGACTGAGACTAGCCCGGTAAGTCTGCCTGGATGTGGCAACGTTTATCTTATTTTGAGGTGTTACATACTGACTTTAACACATTAGGTTCGAGATCCCACCCCGAGAAAACGCAGAACTCGCAAAATGGTGTTGGCGGATGTCAGTGTTAATGTGCCCCGTCTAAGACCTGGTCGACCACAAAGGAGTTCGGCTAGAAGCCCAGAGAAGCGACAAGTATCCGCCAAAACAAGTCAGCCTGCTGGTCAACTTGCCCTACATCCAACACCAACACTTAATCCATTGGCGTTTGGTGCTCGATTTACTCCAAGTAACGAGGAAGATGAGGAGTTTAGAATGACTATGGAAGAGATGGGAGCTAAGAAGCGTTCTTTCAATGTCTTTCAGGATGCTCCTGAGATTAGCCCAGGTCGTACAGAGAGCCCATTGGAAGATCATAGGTTCGACTTTTCGGATGGCGCCTCAACCAGCTTTACGAATACAAATCTCGGAAACAACATCTCTCCCACACCTGTTGTCAAACCTACTGCAATGCGTATGTTCGCCAAAGAAAGCAGTCAATCTGACACGCAGGCACGACGAACCGTCTCGACCCCTCACCATGGCTTCCCGGCTCATATGTTTTTTGACAATGCATCAATGTACAATCCCCTCTACAATCACCACCCCCGATCGTTCTCGTATGGAGGGGATCATATGGACCTTTCCCAGATGAATCAGGACATCAAGCCAATGAATACTTTTGATCAAGGTTTTCAAGGCGATTTCAACTCGGTCGGCCACGCCTCACACCTACCCAGCAGCCATCTACATCTCTCAGGCCCCATTACCAATGGTGCAAGTGTTAACATGCCACATTTTGGTATGTGAGATTGGGATTTTTTACTTTTTACAGCACTCCAAATGCCATGGGCCTATATAACACCGTCTGAGGCGTTTTGACTTCAAATAAGATTTATTATAGCAGGCCATTGTTGTGGTCGAATTTTTATCAGAGGAGGCATATTATACGGAACTTGGTTCTTTCTGTGGTTTTTTACTTTCTACAATTATTTTAACTGGAAACGAGGCGTTGAAGAGCTAGCGATTGCGCGGGTATGCTGGTTCTACATTGCTATCTAATCCTTGAACTGGTATCATATATTACAGCTGCTCCATACCGATGAAAAGCTGGTCTAGCTGATCGGCACCATTCTCTAGTACATTCGAAATCATTTTAGATAGTCCCAATAGCTTTTTCTGTTTCACGTCCATCTCCAACTCCCGTGATTTAAATGCAGCAGTATCGAGTACAGCCTTCGGGATTCGTGCCAACCGAGCCACATTCAAGCCATAAGATCTATGTGCAACCCCTTCACCGACTTCATACAGAAATGTGATCTCCTCATCAACATCTTCACTATCCTTAACCGTATCAGCATTAGAAACTCGCCTTCCATTCTTCTCGGCGGTAAACTTCATATGCACATTCCTCAACTCCTTACCCTTCTCGAACCCTCTCGCCACACCCGCTAACGTTTGATAATGTGTAATAAACAAACACAAACACTTCGTCTCCCTCACCACCCAATCCAACACCGCTTCTGCTATCGCCACGCCATCATGCGTACTCGTTCCTCGTCCCAACTCATCTAATATCACTAGGGATCTCGGACCTGCTGATTTGAGTATCGCTGCCGTTTCGGACAGCTCGACCATGAATGTAGATTGTGCCGTGAATAAAGAATCGTACGCGCCCATGCGCGTGTATATGCCATCTAGGAGGCCCAGGCGGGCGGAGTCGGCGGGCACGTAGGAGCCGATTTGCGCGAGGATGCTTATTAGGGCTACGTGGCGCACGTACGAGGATTTACCGCCCATGTTGGGGCCTGTGATGAGCAGGGCGCGGGTCTGGTCGGGAGATGTGGAGAGTGTGGTGTTGTTGGGGATGTAGGTTGAGGGGAGGAGTTGTTCAACCATGGGGTGTCGGCCATTGATGACGGAGATTTCGGTGTCGGTGGTGAAGGTGGGTTTGCAGTAGCCGGGGAGCGAAGCTACGGCTGCGAGGGAGAGGAGACAGTCGAGGGTGGCGAGGTGCGAGATGGTGTCCCGGATGAGGGCATAGTGGGTGGAGATTTCGGAGAGGAATGTAGAGAATGCGGTGTCGCAGGCGGAGGAGAGCGATTCTTTGTGTTGGTCGCGTTCGCGGAGGAATTTGATGACTTCGGGGGTGTGGAATCGGGAGTGCTTTTTGGTGCCGGAGATTTTGGCCCACGAAGCGGGTACGTTCTTGAGGTCGCTGTTGGGGACTTCGATGAGGTATTCGATGCCGGCGATGGTGACGTAGGTGACGGGGGTTTTCTTGGAGAGTTTGGTGGCGGCGACAGTGCGGTGGTCCTCGAGATCTTGTTCTACGGCTCCTATGCCGCATTTGTGTTCCCCAATTTCTTCGGTTTCGTAATCTTCGAGGAAAAATGCGTATTTGTCGTCTTTGCGGGCGGCTTGGGCGTTGATCTTGTCGAGGAAGGATATTATGATTTCACCGATTGCGGGGAGAGATGCTACGGCTTCATTAAGTAGGACCGACTCGAAGCCGGCATCGATAGGTTGTTTGACGTGCGCAAATTCGTTGGCGATTCTTTGCATGGTCTGGAGAACAGTGAGAAGTTCTGGTCGAGTGCATTTGCCATAGTATATGCGAAGTAAGTTTCGCTCCAGATCTGATCTGACTTCTCGAAGGGTGGCATTTAATTTGTCTACTTTTGGGGTATTGACATTATCCTTCAGTTCTTCCACTGCGGCAACTCTCTCTTCCAATCGCTGCTTGTCTAGAAGAGGTCTACCAACCCACTTTCTTAGCAGTCTCTGGCCAAATTTTGTTTGTGTTTTGTCGAGAGTCCAGAATAGACTTCCTTTTTCGGTGTGGTCTGTTTGATTGGTATAAATCTCGAGACTTGTCAGAGTGTTTCCATTTAACAGCATGTGAGACCGAGCACTAAACGACTGAAAGTATTTGGTAAGGTCAAACACATGCTCCAACCCATACTCAGTCATATGAGTGATCATAGCAGACAGACAAATAGTAACCGGCTCGGTAAGTTTCAAAACTTTCTCTAATAGTTCTTGCTCTCGCTGATTCTTGCTGCTCTGGTGAGCTTTCAATTTGTCCGCATAAAACTGGGCCACATGAGAATACGACTCGGCAGCCATGGTTTTTGGCTTTTCCACACGCTCAACTCTAATTCTATCGCCAAATACATTGGTGGTACTCCCTGAAAGATGCTGTACAAGCTTATCAGTAGCTTTTGTGAGTTCCCCAACTATGAGAAATTCGCAAGGGGCAATATGTAGTAATCGTGTCTCGATTTCACCCCGCATGAAACCATCTTCGAAGTTATCGTAAATAACATCTCCAGTAGCAGGTTGAACAGCCAGTATACCAACCTCAACTTTCTCATCCGTTCCCCATCCTTTAGCCTTCGTCTCCGTTATACAGAGAAGATAACCTGTTGCAGGGGCACCACCGGACGGTGCATCGGTTGAGTCTAATCCCTCAATATCATCGATATATGTGCCTTTAGTATAGACATTGGTGAGCTTCCTAACAAAAGGGGCATTCCGATTGTCTCCAGCCTTCTTTAATGCAGCTGTTTCCGTTTGTCGAACAATACCAATTTTGTGACCTGCAGCGACGAGCCTCTTTGCGTGGACGGGGAGTCGATGAACGGGAATACTTGCAGATGCAAAGTAGTTAAGATGTGCCTCTGAAGGATCTATACTGTGTCAGACCTTCATGAGGTAGAGATTCGAGGGCGGATAGCTTACGTTCGTCAAATCGAAACTTACCCGGTATGCACACAATGCTGAGCACTTTTGCTGCCGTTCTTGCATCTTCACCAAAGAATTTGAACTTATAGCCAACTTCCACAATCAACAATGTATCCATGTGTTTGCGCTTAATTTCGATGACTTGCAACTCCATTGGAGTTAATTTGCCCGTCTTTGCGCCCTTCTTCTTGGCCTTCACAGGCGCAGGTGCTTCTTCTTCATCCTCTCCTTCTTCTTCGTCGCCACCTTCTAAAGCTGCATTATCCTCAGGAATATTCCGGCTGATACTATCTGGATGTCCCAATTTCTTGACAAACTTCTTGTGTAATTCGGCCTTCCGTGATTTCTCTGACTCGTCTTCAGGTTCCTCCTCAATCGTAGGATCCGCAGCTGCCAATTGACTTGAGCTCGAAAACATATATTTATTCGTTCGCGGAGAGAGCTTAGACTTGCCTAGTGTTGAGCTAGACGGTGGCTTTCGAGCATTGGCAGCTGGCAGAGTAGAGCTTTCGCCATCTTCCTCCTCAACATCAACATTCTTTGCTCGTTTAGATGATCTTTCTTTTGCTCCAGTGTTTCCCCCATTTAAATCTTCTTCCAATACCCGTTTCGAGCTATTTCCAGTGGTATTCGTAGTCTCATTAATTTTCTGGTCGCTCTCAGCATCATAAAGGTTTCCTGGGGCATTGGAAGCAGGTGGCGGACTTGGATCTTGAGGTTTTTGACTAGATCTTGGAGTAAAGAAGCTGGATATTGACTTCTGGGTCTTTCCTGGAGTTGAGTTTGGTCTACTCATCGTGGCAGATTCCCAGCAGCTTTTTGTTGTAATGAGGGAGTTGCTTTACAATTATAATGTTGCTTGGAAGGAGACGCGACGACGCGACGGGCGTAGAGTGGATTACATAATCAACACAGCATCAAAATCATCATAATCTACTGCAACCATCTGGTACGAAAAAAGAACATATCATCAAATAGATGTGTTTAAGATAGAATGTCCACGAAATCTCAATGTTTCTATGCCAACTTACAAAAAGACACCTGTCACTGATTGATATACCCAACTCGAATTCGGACGAGCAGAGCGAGGATCAGATAAGATGTTACCATCAAGTTGGGATAAAAAGACCTTTATATTTATTGTCTATGTCTCTGAACCCCCTTCCCCTCCCACTGTTATTTATTAATCCACGTCTATGTCTTCATCTAGCAAACTCTAGACCTATTCTCCTAAGATACAGCACAATAAGCTTACAAAGTATACAAGAAATCCGGTCTCTTATCCCCCAAAGCCACCTTCTCACTCTCATTGAGCCCCTGGAACCAAACATCTCTCTCACCCTTGATTCTCTTGCTATTTTCTCTTCTCAATAACAAATGTAGTAAGGTACTTCCACCCAAAAGAAAAAGGATCATAAAAGCCATCACAACAGCGTGGCCTACAATATACTTAGGTTTGTTAAAATAGATATTCGAGCTGATGATACCACACAAATTACCCCATCCAATCACAAATCCTAGGACAACGCCTCGCTTGTAAGAGCCTTCGATGTTGTTGGAGATCCAGGAGATAGTGTTAGCAATACAAGGATAGATACCGAGGGCTCCAAGGAAAGTCCCGGCATATTTAATACCAGGTTCCTGGCTACATAGTAGCATGGCGAAGCCGGCGATACCAAGAAAGGACACGGCAATATTGCAGAGGCCTCGTTGACGGGTACGATCGGCGATGAATCCTATCACGACTGTCAAGATAGCGGCAGCGACATATGGTGGAACTGACAGGAGCTGGGCTCTAGTTGTTGTGTAGCCAAGCTGAGTGATGATGGTAGGGAGGAACAGCGAAAATGCGTATAGGGGCATACAACAACCCATATAAATGATCATACCCAGCCACATCTTGTAATCTTTGACTGCTTGCCAGAAAGAATTTGCGCTGAGTTCTTCGTGGCCTGCGGATTGTTGATTGGCTGTTAGACGGCGGATGACTCTATTTCGCTCGACTTCGGAGAGGAATTTAGCTTTTTCAGGGAAATCGTGCACCAGCCAGAACGAAACGACTCCAGCCAGGACTGTGATAATTCCTTCCAGGATAAAAATCCAAGCCCATCCGTGGAGACCACCAATACCTTCCATCTTCACTATCGCCGCGGCGAGGAGTCCACCAAAGCTACCAGATACAGCAGCCGCGGAGAAGAAAATCGCAACTCGAACACCGAACTCGGATCTCTTGTACCAGCAGGATAGATAGTAACTGATGCCGGGAACAGCCCAGCTTCAGCGAGACCAAGGAACCACCGTGCTGCCATTAGACCTGACCAGTTCTCGACAAATCCCATGAACGTCATGCACAAGCCCCATGCAATACTATAACGCTTTCAGTAACTTGCGCATCTCACTATGGGATTGATTATATAAAGCAGCCAGCTGTTTGATACTTACATGATAATTAGCACGAATACAGATAGGCGAAATCTCTTGAGCAATGCATTGGTAACAGGCTCAAAGAGTGCATACGAAATGAAGAAGATGGATAGTACGGCATTATATTTGCCCGTCGACATGTTATTCATGTCTTTTTGCAAGCCACCAATCTTCGCATTTCCAATGTTCGTGCGATCAAGGAAAGCGAGTAGGTAGAGAACACATAGCTATCGACATTAAAAAGAAAACCAGGTGGAGATCAATGATCACTTACCCATGGTATCAAAGTCCAATCAAGCTTTCGTACCAGCTTACGGTCCTGTAAAAATCATCAGTACATCTCGAGGTTTCAGGATATTCATCGACTTACGATCTCAGCCTTTTCTTCGTCGCTCAAATCCGCATCTGGGTTTGGAGGTAAATCTGGGGAAGGGGCATGCTCATCAAGACCTACGACTTCTTTCTCATCGTCTGCATTGGTGAAAGCCCTGGGAAGATTATTCGAAGCCATGATTTGAGGATTCGAATAATGTTGATTTTGAACGTAGTGCGAATTAGGACAGTAGAAAATAGAAGAGCGGGGTGGAGAGGACTATGTAAGAGCTTCACAAGATTGTATAGCTAGCAGTGGCTAGGAAATCTTGTCCCCAGTATGAACGGGGAATGAGTTATGACACATGGGATCTGTTATCCAAGGACTTCTAAATATGCCGATCCCCAGAATCTGCATCAGCACCCCACAGAGCCTGGGACATTTGAACTACAAAGAACGCACTTAGGCTCGATGAGCCTGTGGCAAAGCCGCAATCATCTGTTGACACTTCAACAACGTACAGCTAGCTGCTCCTATAACCCAGCTGTTGACATGGAAACTCGTTGACACCAGTCAGTAAAATCAACAAGATTATGATGCTGGTTTGCCACTGCCCTGATGGAAATTTGATCGCTCGACAATAGCTCCCCTTCGTTTAACTACAACCCCTCTCCCGACTTCGGCGAAGAGCGTTATTCCACACAACTGGCTGATAATTATTTAAGAATAATTAGCCTCAGGACCGAGCCAAAAAGCCATCCGCTGCCTCTCATACACCAGTAAATAACGGTGCTCAACTCTCAGGAGCTAAAATCCCAGGATATTCCTTTCGTACCTAGTTCACTAATATGTAGTTTGTGCTAGTATGCCCGGGCTGCGGACTATCTGGCGGCACGAGTTACGGAGAAAGGTTGGGGAAAGCCACGGTATCCGTATTTGGAGCTAGACCATCTCGGGGGTAGCATCTTCGGTTGTTTGGATGTCCGATCTCATCATGTGATTGGAAGCAAAATCTCGAAAACGTGATCTTCATGCGTGTCAGAAACTCCAAAAGTGGTACAGTGATGAATATCTGTAGTACTAATAACTGGGGAAGCTGCAGAAAAGGTAATCTGTTGCGAGGTATAACACATTCTTTATCGAGATCATTACTAAGTTGGTAAACATATCCCTTTGGTTGAATCATTCCCATCTCTGAGCCGTAAGAATTTATGGTTTCATAAGCTGGACTTCACATCTTTCTATGCGTGCAAGCTACACACTATTTAAGATGTCAACTCGAACGAAGACCGTATGTGTGATTGGTGAGTACATTCCTTGGTTTGAGATTATCATAGCTAACCTTCACTGATTAGGTGCTGGTCCTTCAGGGCTCGTGGCAGCCAAAACACTGACCCACGACCATCCAAAAGGCACCTTCGAAGTAACAATTTTTGAGCAGTCTCATAGAATAGGTGGCTTGTGGCCTATATCTCGTGAGGATGACGGCCTAGTGAATCCTAATATGTGCACAAACCAAAGCCGTCATACAGTCAGTTTTAGTGACCTGGCATGGCCCGCTTCATCCCTCGCTTGCCCGAAAGCATGGCAGGTTGGGAAATATCTCGAAGGCTATGTCAAAATGTACCCTGGATATTCCATTAAGTTGGGTGTCAGAGTTGTCAAGATCGAGCCACCGACGGATTGGCAAACCGCTGCATCAGGGAAATGGAATGTTTATATTCAACATAATGATTCTACCGAATCGCCACAAGTTTACGAATTTGATCATGTAATTGTAGCCACTGGGTTCTTTGGAAAGCCTAAAATACCCAATATCCTTCCAGACTTCCCAGCTCCAGTCTGGCATAGCTCAAGGCTTCGTGCTGTCAACAGTTTGTTGACTGATAATGGAAATATTACATCCCCCAAGGAAAGGAATATTGTGGTTGTTGGAGGGCAGATGTCGGGTATTGAAACCGCAGCAGCAGTCGCTTTGCAGGTATCCTCTGCCATGAATTCAACGCAACGTCCAATTCCAAATGCGAATGAATACAAGATATACAATGTGATTCAACAACCATTTTGGGTGATGCCTCTCACATTCCCAAATAACCCTATGATCGATGGTGCTTCGCCCGAAGCTGAAAAGGTAAATGATACCTATCTCATCACTAGATTATTCCGCTAACGCCTCCCTAAGATTCAAAACTCAGCACCAACGTTCTTGCCCCTTGATCTTGTCACTTACAATATTGGATGGAAGCCTCCAGGACCCCTCAAGGACTCATCTGGTCACATATCGCCGGAAGCAGCCAAAATTACAAACGACTTCATGAACAACTATCTTGGTACTGACCAAAGTGAGATTGGTACAGATCATCTTGCAATAGCAGGAGATGTTCGCTCTGAACCACCACGACTTACAACCAGCGAAGACTATGTCAAATTTGTCCGATCTGGAGACATCAAAACGATCCGAGGAAAGGTGATGGGTGCAGCACCCAATCAATCAAATGCCATCATCGTCGAGGAGAACGGAACTCAACAAACCATTGACGATGTTGCAGCAGTAATCTTAGCAACTGGCTTTGATGCATCACCATCACTCAGTGTGTTACCAAAAGAAATCCTCCAACATCTCTCATTCGACGAAACAAGCAGCGAATTTCCACTCGCCCTAAACGTGCATTCTACAATCAACGCAAAACTCCCCTCCCTGGGCTTCGTCGGCTTCTACCGAAGTCCCTATTGGGGCGTCATGGAAATGCAAGCTCGATTCCTGGGAAAGCTCTGGTCCGGAGACGCACAAGCACAGAAAACGCTAGAAACAGACGATACCCTCGATAAAATTCTGCAACTGCGCACCGATCCCCGCATTGCCCAATTTCCGATGGGAGACTATGCATACCTCATGGAAACATTCAGCGCCGCCGTAGGAATCCAACGACAAGAACCCACCCACGACCCAGACGCACGCACAGGAATCGTCCTCCCATCCCGCTACCTGTATTCCCACGCGAGCAGCACCCAAAAAGATCAAGCCGCGCTCGCTCTCTCCATTATCGACTCGACTTTTCTTTCCTCATCCACACGCGGCGCCTTCGTCTCTAAAGCTATATTCCGTTCTCTGCAAGGAACATGGAAACTCTCCCGCTCCCTCATAAGTAATCTCCCCACCTTCCCCTCCGGCACCTTCACCGGAACCGCCAAGTTCCTCCCCCGTTTCCCTACAGACCCGTCCTTCGATTCCGAATACCTATATGTCGAAGAAGGAGATTTCGTTGCGGATACCGGAATCACGTTTCGAGCTACGAGGAGATATGTATATCGATATCGAGAGGATACCGATACGTTAAGTGTGTGGTTTGTGAAAACTGATGATAATCTGGGAGTGGATTACTTATTTCATGAGTTGGAAATTTTGGTTCCAGAGGCTAGTGATGAGCAGGGGAGTAAGAGTGAGAATATGGGATGGAAGGCAAAGTCGAGTCATCTTTGTATTGATGATACTTATGATGTGAAATATGAGTTTATATTTCATGGGGTGAATGTGGAGGAGTGGAGCCAGGAATATAGCGTGAAGGGGCCGAATAAGGATTATAGAATTAGGAATGGGTATCGACGGTAGAGATGGATAGCTGTAGAGAGGTAATGAGAAATTCAAACAAATCATGAGATACGCAGCGAATTTCCCACGACGTAATCTATAGATATATTTATATTAATGAGTCTAATCTTGATGTCTACACTCGAGTATTTTGGATTAGATTCATTAGAGATGTGACGTAATAGATGTATAGCACCGTATATCTTAAGATTCACTAGACATCTATATTCCATACGTTATATATAAGTAAAGAGTTCCTGCATATTAATGTAGAGTGTACTCGAGTATATAACAAACACATTCTTCTCATTATCGAATCGTACCATATCATATCATATCATATTAGACTTGATAGAAAGATACCTTTTGTGTGTAGCTGAGGGAGGCATTATGGTAATTATTACCTTATAAAGAGCGGGTTCTATTGTCATTTAGCTGTTGTTGATATAGACTACACTTCACATCACATCACAAAGCCGATATATAAGCATGAAGAGTCAAGTCAATGAGATGAAATCATACTATGTGCGTGCAAAAGTAAAAGCATAGTACGAAACAAATCCCTTCCCCTGCCAGGGCCTTCCTGATATATTGCATGCAAAGACTTCCCAATCCGAAGACCCCATATCAGATCAGATATCCCAAACCCATCGCCGATCCCTCAAATCTAGTACCAATTACAACCAAGCCAACGCCATATTAGACATCCACGACTTGTCCTTCACTCAATAATATGCAGACCCTTAATTATTGCTTGGAAGATTATCGCAATTCAATTGTCCTTTATCGGCTGCGACTCCCTGATCTACCACACATATTAGGAAACACATCCAGTGCCATCAGTACAGGAAGAAACATACCGAGATTAATGCAGATTCCACTCGGGACTGTGCTTCCATTTGCCGCACCACAGCCACAGCATAGATTAGGGATTTCGAGCTCACAACCGCAGGTGGTTTGGAACATGCCACTACACAGTAAACACATTAGAATAAATCAAGATAAGCTAAGAGGTCATGTACTTTTTCTGCCACTATTTCTTGACGTCAGTATAGAAACTCAAAGTGCGGAGAATGAGAAAACTCACAAGGAGGTGGGCGTCGTTGTTTCCGAGGCATGTGTTCAAGTTCAAAGTGGAGTTTGTCTTTTGGCCAGACGAATTGGGACAGAGACCAGACAAAATGGGTGTTACGGTGATGACAAACTCAGGAGCAGGGCCAACATCGATTGTGTCGGAAAACTTAAAGGTGGATGCGTTGCAACTACTTTGGCTCAGAAAACCTCCTACAGTGCTTCCTCCAAACGCATGAGCGATGGAAAGTAGAATGGAAACGAGAAGTGTGGTAATCAATGATTTCGACATGTTTGATACCAGTTGTAGTGTCTTTGGAGGTTTGATGTCGAGAGAGAGTTTTTTTTAGACGGTTGAAATGAGATTGTTGTGTTTTTGGAGATTTGATATTGAGTTGTAGTATCTTTGGAGGAACGAAGTCTAACTTGGGCAGGCACTGCAGATTTAAGCTTCCCCCGCGGGGTACGTAGAACCGAAGATTTATCTTGACGAACAGAGTGAATATATTAATTCAATTAAATTAAAGCATAGTTTATGAATCTGCCACATGGGCTGAATTCAGCAGTGAGAAATCCGAAGGTTGGCGCGTCGTCTGACATCCCTGTTAAGATGGCTGATATAATACTTTCAATAGGCATCCCAATCGGACTTGATCTTTCACAGCCTCAGACGGGAGAACGGAGAATATTTGCAATGAGGAATGCAAACAAAAAAGACGGGAGAATATAAGCTGTTTGTTGAAGTAGAATTTATCATATATGCATGCAGACTGTATCCACAGGAGGTAGATCTTGACGTCTTCCGAGCATGGCAAGTGGTGATGATTTATGCTTTGATGAACCAAGAATTTTAGATGATTAGATCGTGGTACAGGAACTGCCAGACGAAGTTATTGATCCGGCCAATTCGGTGCAAATACCCGAGAGAGAAAAGTGGCTTTCCTACTTGGCAAGAAACTCATACTCATCTTACTGTGTTTCCGAAAGGAAAGACTACTTTCACTTCGCAGAAACAATATAATAAATATATGATAATATCAAAACTTTGATATATGATTGCTTTGAAAGCTTTTGTCAGTCATGACATTCATATAGTGAAATGAAAAATAAAGTCTCATGGCTTAAAATGTTACTAAACTTTCCAAATGATACGCTGCCAATTTAGCCTGTTACAAAAACCCAAGTCTACCAAGACTGACCCCATTGCCGACAGCTACTTGAAACAAATTGGAAACCGGGGAACCCTGCAGGCTAATCGATAGATGTTTGCACAGCATATGGACACAGCAGCATATGCCACTGTATTTGTATTTGCACATGCAACCATAACACTTGTCGAGGTCCAGGCACTCGCCGGAACATATCTATGGACGGATGTACTCTCTCATTTCCACCCTCTACATGCGACCGGGGCTCTAGAGGCCCGGTAACCCGTCATGTGGATGTACTCACATGTGGTATTGTTGTATCCGAAGGGATGCATTACAGATACGATACTGTATGTTTTTGAGGAGATTGGCGAGGTGAACTTTGATGGTCATGTAGTTGGATCAGTTGTTGAGAGTGAAGTGCGAACTTCGAAGACGTCATCGATAGCGTGAGTTGTATTTAACATAGGTATGTCTTGCACCATAAGAAGCAGGAAAAACACCGTCTCCTTGATGCTGAAAGTAGAGTACCAGGCAAACTCCATCTCTATGCAGATATTCCATGCACAACTATATAATCCCACGTCCCAGCGATTGAGATTTTGTAATATATATACACTACTTCTTGTTAATACTCCATATTTTACCATCAATGCTATATAGATCCATTAGATAATTAATTAGTGTGATCTTACAAGATGTCGGAGCGGTACTCATCCAAAAAAAATTAAGAGCAGAATGTTCAATTTATTCCGAGTATTGAAAAGTAGTATAAATTTTGTTAATAAAGGTAGTCATCGAAGCTAGGATTACAATCAATTCATGACTGAAAGAAGAAGAAGCGGAAGAGGAAGAGCAAGAGCAAAATCAAAATCTCAATTTAGTTTTTTGACGCTAAAGGACGGTTTTAGCTCCCACTAGTGGCACTAGTGTATTGCGATTTGGGAAGTCACCTACATCGAGCCTGCCCCTTTGCCATGAAGACTGAATAGGAGGAAGAGACGCGATTGTAAAACGCACATATGATCGAAAATACTGAGACGTTACAATGGTATCGTGCTCAAAGAGCTGGTATATTCAATTGATCTGAGTATACTCCGTATATATACAGATATGCCCATGTATTTAAAACGCCTCTCTGCCACCTCAGAATCCCCTTCCAGGCCGTCTCGCAACAGGTCTTCTCACCGCGCCCTTCGCGGTGACTTTCTTAACTACCGGCCCGCTTCCATCTGTGATACCTATCGGTTTCCTCGCCAATTTATTATCCTCCGCTTCTATCCTCTTTTCTTCTCTCAATTTATCCTCGGCCATCTTCGCCTCGATCTCCATCTTTCTGTTGAACTCCACCTCGGTAACCCTTTTTTCCCTCGCACTATAACCCTTCTCCTTCACACTAAAGAACACACCTCCTAATTCAGCCAACCAGTGTGGATCTACTGATGTAACAGTCGACATATATTCTTTTGATGTGAGAATCAACTCGTGATAGACGACATAATCAGGTAGATAACCTAATCCGTAAAGTGCCGAAGTTGGATGTAATTGTACTGTGACAGAAGTGCGCAAATTGACATATTCGCCTATTCCCTTGACTTTTGCGGCTTGATGGTAATAACCCGAGCATATACATTTGCGTATAACGTCCCAGTCAGTGCCGCAAGAAACCATGCTCATGCGTTGCATTTTCATAATATCCAATAATTGTTCTCTGATCTCCTTAGATCGACGAAGGGACTTTGGATGGAGGAAATGTCGTGTACACCAAGCGTCCGAGTGCCCATTGGACTTCCATTGCGAATAGACATGCAAGTAAGTCAGATGATCTGATTCGGGAACGAAGAACTTTTCGCGCGCAGCGTCTGATTCCTCTTGGCGTTCTTTTGGACGGTAGAAAACGCTGGGGACTGAGAGCATAGAAACTATGGTGAGCATTTCTTCGCTGCAGCCGTATTCTATAGACGTGATCAGTAATTTGGCCAGGGAGGGATCCATGGGGAAGGCCGTCATTTTCCTCCCCTGGTCCGTCAATTCCCCAATGTTGTCAAGTGCTCCGAGCGCCCAGAGGTCGAATAACGAGGTGGTGATAGTATCTTGAGGTGGAGGATCGATGAAGTCAAAATCAAGTAAGTCTTTCACCCCTAACGACTTTAATAATAAAACGGTGTTGCTGAGATTTGTACGTTGGATTTCAGGTATGGTCTGAATATAGAGTTCATCCTTGAAGGCAGCTTCAGTAAAGAGATGAAAAGCTTTTCCTGGCCCGGTACGCCCAGCACGACCAGCACGTTGAGACGCATTCGCTTGTGAGATCGGCGTGATTTGTAGAGTATCCATTCCCATGCGCGGGTTGTACACCTTCAATTTCGAGTATCCAGCATCCACAACATACATAATACCATCAACCGTCAAACTGGTCTCGGCAATATTTGTCGCAACAATGACCTTTCTAACACCAGGTGCGGCTCTGTCGAAAATCTTCGCTTGTAGATCTGCTGGCATTTGACTGTAAATAGGTAAAATGAGAAGTTTCGGTGGATCGTTGAGAGCATTGAGACGTTCCTGGATAAGCTCGCAAGTACATTCAATATCCTCTTGTCCAGTCATAAATACCAAAATATCACCTGCACCCTGAGATACATGAATGGCCAATACTTGTTGAACCGCCTGATCCACATAGTCTTCCACAGGTGAGCGGTGATACATAACGTCAACCGGAAAGGTACGTCCTGGGATGAAAAATTCGGGGGCTCCACCATAGAAATCCGAAAATCGCTTCGAGTTCATCGTTGCAGATGTTACTATTAACTTAAGATCCCTACGACGTGCAAGAACCTTCTTAAACAGACCCATTAGGACATCCGTATTGAGCGCCCGTTCGTGAGCTTCATCCATGATAACGCAGGAATAACGATCCAGATCTGGCTCGTTCAACGATTCTCTCAGTAAAACACCATCTGTCATATACTTTATCACTGTTTCTTTGCTCGTACAGTCCTCGAATCGGATGGCATAACCAACAGTACCCCCTAATTTACACTCCATCTCCTCACTGACACGCTTCGCTACAGACATAGCCGCCACTCTTCGAGGTTGCGTGCATCCTATCAGACCCGTGTTTCCATAACCTTCTTCGTAGAGGAATTGAGTGATTTGGGTCGTTTTTCCAGATCCAGTCTCACCAACACAGATGACCACCTGATTATCTCGAATTACTCTGAGGAGATCCTCTCGCACCGCAAATGCAGGAAGATATTCTCGCTGTTCTCTTAATGACTTGCTCTGACTGAAGTTACTAGCACCGTCGTTCTTCTTCATATGTTGAGCAAATTTGCTACTTCCCTGTGGTTCTTCCTCGCCCATCATTGGGGCCGCACTGTCGCCTTCTTCTTCTTTCACCCCCATGAGATTTCCAAGCGCCGTGCCAGCCATATTCGTTGCATCTTGGGCCTGTTTTTGTCTCTCTTTCTGCTGCCGCCTCTCCTTTACCACTTTACTTCCCTTGCGACTAAAAACTGCCATATCGCTCTGGAAATCACGCACTGCCGGCACAGGCTCCAACTGTTTCGAAAAAACTGTCCTCCCATCTAAAAATGGAGGTTTAAGGTCATGTACGAGGAGATGAACTCTAGTAGCCTCCTCGTCGTCCTCGAAGTCATCGCCAAAGTCTCTTCGCTGTGCAACACCAGAGGTGAGCATTCGATTCGTCTCCCATGCATCAACATCTTTTTGTTTTTGAGCGGCTCGAGCGCTCTGACGCTTGACCGTTTTCTTTTCGACTAAAGCTACTTCTCGTTGCTGCTCTGCCCAAGAATTGTCGTAGGAGCCGAATGGGTTGTGTGAATCATCTCCAAAGATGTGTCCCGTCTCATCGCCCGCATACCAATCTCTGTCTAGTGCTTTCGAATCCTCCTCATCAACGAACGGCTCCGGTTCATCAAATTCTTTCTGCTTGGGGGCTGACCGGGCCGAAGGAGTATATCGTGGCGTCGCAGAGCCATTGCTCGGTCGGCTTTGAAACTTCGAGGGAGATCTACTACTGCTGCGAGATGTTGAAGGTCGAGCAGGCACTGCGAATCGATCGTCAGATTTCAAAGGATTGAAATCCAACTTGCGTCTTTTAGAAACATCTCCATCTTCGCGGCCCATCTTATGTTTTAATAGGTTCTGTGTTCGTGTTGCTGTTTACTGTGATTTAGTACCTTATTAAAAGTTTTGTGGCACGTTCTAAGGCCTCAATCCAATTTTCACAAAACGCGAAAAGTACAATATTAATTGCAGAATTGGAATCGGAGTAGTCTTCAGGATCTCCCAAAAAATTGACTCGGGGATTTTGGCTGACGGAATAAAAGTCCTGGCCTGGAGTAGGGGCATTTTGAAAGCTTGGAGCTTCAGAAAAGGCTGGCCATGAGCGGCCGCAATTTCATTGATTGATTGATTGTGAGATAACGCTAAGATAAAAATAATTTATTTTTTATATCCCCGCTCCAAGTCAATTTGTGATATCTTTTACAATTTCTGGTATAATATTGATTCATCATGTCTATGATCACAGCAACAGCGTGGGTCCCTCGAGGCTTTGCAGCGCCTTTTCCAACCAAATATACCTTCGATGAAGAAGAGTTTCAGCGAATTGCCGATCTCGCAAAGTTACAATTAGATGATGCGAACGAGGATTTGGAGGAAGCGCAAAACACTGCAGATAATGGCGCGGATCCAGATGCGATGGTAGATGATGAAGGCTCAGATGACGAAGCCGATTCGAAGGCATTGAAATCAAAAGGGTTCGTTTCATACCAAAGATTTTTCTCGATTTCCGCTGACTTTTACGCAGTGACGAGGATGATGATTTAAAGGAATACGATTTGGAGCATTATGATGAAGACGTTAAAGAAGACAATGCTGGTGGTGAGGGAATGGCTATGTTTGGAAATGTGAAATCACTTGCATATCACGAATCGAACGAAGAGGATCCATATATTACGATGGCAGGAAACGCCGAGGATGAAGATGAGGACAGGGAAGAACTTCAAATATTGGCAACAGACAATATGCTGCTGGCGGCCAAGATTGAGGATGAAGTTGCACATCTCGAAGTATACGTTTACGAAGATGGCGCTGATAACCTTTACGTACATCACGACATCATGTTACCGGCGATACCTCTTTGCGTGGAATGGCTCGACCTGCCTGTTGGAAAACCAAGTGTGGATAAGGACTCGAGGGCAAATTTCGTCGCAGTAGGAACATTTGACCCAGATATTGAGATTTGGGATTTAGATACGGTCGATTGTATGTATCCCAATGCTATATTGGGACAAGGCGGACAGCATAAGGATGCAGACGGAGGGGCCAAGAAAAAGAAGAAGAACAAGAAGTCGAAGAAGACCAATGACGAATTTCACGTGGACGCAGTTCTTTCGTTAGCTGCCAACAGACATCACCGAAATTTACTGGCCTCTTCATCCGCCGACAAGACTGTCAAACTCTGGGATTTAAATACTACCACATGTGCAAAGTCATACACACATCATACAGACAAAGTATGTTCGTTAGCATGGCATCCAAAGGAATCTACCGTTCTGCTGAGTGGTAGTTACGATAGAACAGTCGTAGCTGCGGATATGAGAGCGCCAGACGCGAAAGCACCAAGATGGGGAGTCGAAAGTGATGTCGAGAATGTTCGATGGGATCCTCATGACCCGAATTACTTCTACGTCTCAACCGAGAGTGGTGTTATTCATTTCCACGATATCCGAAACGCTCCAGCAACCCCCAGTGCCACGAAACCAGTATGGATGCTCCAAGCACATGATGATTCTGTTTCTTCCTTCGATATAAACCCTACCATTCCAGGATTCTTGGCTACCGGATCAGGAGACAGACAAGTTAAGCTTTGGAACATACAACCCACCGGACCTACTATGGTAGTATCTCGAGACTTGGATGTTGGAAAGGTTTTCTCAACAACCTTTGCACCAGACGAAGAAGTGAGTTTCAGACTCGCAGTAGCCGGTAGCAAAGGAATCGTCCAAGTCTGGGACTGCAGTACCAACCCCGGTGTACGACGTGCATTTTCCGATCGAGTGGCACCCGTTGAAGGAGAAATTAAGGAGAGGTTAGTAGGTGTACAGAATGATAGCGAGTCTGAGAGTGACGATGAAGAGCTCGAAGATGGGGATGGAGCTGAGGTTGAATCTATGGATGAGGATGCTTAAATATAGAGATGTTCTCTTTTGAAGAAGAAGGCTCTAATACAAATATTAAATCAAAATAATTACTTCAACAATCTTTCGACAGTACCGGTTCGGTATGTATGACTTGCAATCTATTTTATGTTCGAAGATCAAACTTCGCTTAGATTTCTAGGTCCTTTCATCAAACTCAAAGCATAACGGCACCATGGCATTTTTTGCATATATCTCATCTCATCTCATTTATAAACAAAAGGCAAATAAAAACTGGGGAATATAATTTACATGAAGCATTCTCTATTAGTTTGATGTTTCTAGTAGAAGAATAGAATAGATCTGGGATTGGGATTGGGGTTTGGGTTGCTATATATATATTTATAGTATATTTACTGTATTTTCCGTTTGAGAGATCTTGCATGCATGCTTTGTGTTGAGATGATGAATCATGATGATTATGATGATGATGATTACTGTGAAGCAATTTCGACTAATTATTTTCAGAGCATAGTATAGCACAGCATATGATGAAACCAGACCAGCTCAGCCTGTATTGTAGGGAATCTACTCATAAAAGCAATAAGCAATAAGACTGACAGACTGATGTTGTAGAAGCTGTGGATGTAATGGTCACGTAATGTAGTGTGAAGAAATGTAATGGATGGGGTTGTTTGTGGGAGATTCGGATCCGGAGTTGGTAGTTAGAAGTCAGAGTCAAATTCGGGGAGAAAGTGTCTGGAATACGGAATGTAATAAGTGTACTGCATGTAGAATGGATGATATGATGGGATGGGATGGGATGAGATAATCGGGATGAATCATCTAGTATGAAATATTGGAAATATTAAAAACATTAGAAATATTAGAAACATTAGAAACATGAGAAATATTAGTAAACTAGTATATCCAAAAACTAGATCTTTCTAAACTTATGTTTTGATAACTCTTTTTAAATATAGATAATTTAACTAGATCTGGAAAAGATGTTTATATTCCTGAAAATCTGTATATAATTTCGAGATCTTGCTCAAGAGACTAAAAGAGAGAACCCTGTCTTTCGGGCAGCCTCTACAGGTATTGCAGCTTATAACATTATAGGCAAAACGCTATATAACCTTCTTTGACTCCTAATCCAGGGAAGAGGTATCGAGTTATCTGTACTCGAGTAAGTATATTACAATCTTTACAAGCTTTGCTTCAACACTTTAAATTTCTTACTGAACGGTTCATGATATTGGGTACGTGACAGGGCAGGATACTTCTCAGATGGCTTCCTTTTTACTTATCAAGTTCGATGAGTATATTCAATCAGAGGTTCCGGACTGTGAGCATGGTGTAGTACCAGTCTTTCTGGTCACTCGTCGGTCTGAATTCCACGGGGTAGGCTATTCACGTAGGCAGTTTCCTTTACGGCTGGCTTTCGCAATTACGGTGCATAAAAGCCAAGGGCTCACCCATTCCAAGGTTCTTTTGAACCTCAATCAACGAGAGCACTGCTTAGGCCTATCGTATGTAGCTACCTCTCGGGTAAAGCACTTGAATGGGTTATTATTTGAGGGGCCTTTTGATTTGGAGCGTTTTTCGGGCAGAAGATCGACGATTTCTCAGAATAGAGAACTTGATTACAGGACGATGGTAGATGAAATTTTAGGGTATATACTAAAGGACAGGTTAAGTAGTTGTAGATGGTGTAGAGTTCAGTAAGACTAAATTGATATATAATATGGTGGTTTTTTCAACAGTACATACATAGATAGTCGAACGAAGTGAGGATCAGAGGTTTGGGGGCTGGCCCCCATATAAACAAATAGATATGAATAGAAAGAAAGAGAGATCACGTAGGAGAAGAGGGAAGTACGGTCTGAGGGTTTGGCGGATACCTCAATAGAAATGAATAGATTAGATTTTGAATAACAAATTTTCTGGTTCCAAATTTCCTTCTTTGTAGCTCCATGCTACATATTAAAAAGCAGGTACCCTTTGGTCCTATTGGTGTGGGTAGACTGACGGTCTAACAAGATATAACAATTATTGCAGAGCTGACCTCCTAGGTATTGATGTAGACCGACGACGTCTAGCTTCGTCTAGCTTCGAGAACAAGGATGGGCCCTTTGATTTCGAAATATAATATATTCACAACCTTCTACCTTACCCCTTTTACACCAGCCCAGCTTATGGTTTACAAAATAACCTGACAGGCTGCAACCTGTTCTCATGGGCTGCGAATTAATAGTCCAATTTAACCCCAAGCCACCATTCCCATATTTTCCGTCACACCAATACCACTCGCTAGGAATTGCTTGCTAAAATTATCTTTGCCTCATTTGTGTTCTTCTTCTTCTTCTTCGAACTTGTCTTTTGCCGTGAACCGTAGCGGAAGGATATATGTTGATGAATGGATGGTGCGATCTGGTCCGTTGGAGAAGGGTTGGATGAAGTGATGGTGGGAATAGGCATGGGACTTCGAGCTCTAAGGATTAAGGTCAGGGAAAGGTTAGTACTCAGAAACTCGATTCGAATTGGATCATGGAACTGCAACTTCCTTCGACACTTTGACTAAGAATCTACAATTGAGAAAATGTCTGTAAATAGCCAATCCACTAACACTGTCTATATTACTATCAACCTCTACCCCAAGGGCTTTTCTCTTGCCTTCAAATCCTGACACCGAAGCTCCTATTTTGCGAAGATTTCCAAGCTATCAGGCCAGTCCACTTTAGCTAGCCACCATCACTTTCTCTGCGCCATTGGCACATATTCGATACCCCCATTCCACACCCTCGCAATGTCCATAGTCTTTGAGATGTTGTGTAGTGGATTACTCCCTGGCTTGAGTAAGAGTAAATCTGCACGATATCCCTCTCTGATAGATCCTCGCCCTATTAGATTATGCCAAAGACTAGGCATCACGGTCGCGGTTCTCAGTGCATCAACCTCACTCAGGCCTGCTTCTGTCAGATATTTCAACTCTTGATGTAGAGTAATCCCAATCAGATCGCCCTTGAGAAAACTGCCGGTTGCGTCGTTGGCGTCAGTTCCGGCGAGAATCGGAACACCCGCGCGTATCAGCTGTTGCACACTGGTCACTCCAGCTTCGAATGTCAAGTTAGTCCTGGAGAAACGATCTTCTCGATTTTTGAGTTTGCCGTGACTATCTTGACGATGCTCAATGTTGGCGTCACAAATTGGCCCTGCCATTTTATACGTCGTGCCATCTCCTTTGTGAGTGGAATATCGCACGGCACGTGTTGTATACCATCAGTCCTCGAGCGGATTGCCACTTCATACGAGCCATAATCCTGTGCATGGGTCATGGCAACCTTGCCTAACGCATGTGTCGCGTTGACGAGCGCATCATGGGTGGCCTGATTGAAGCCGTTCGGTTCTGAAATTAATTTCATATAATTTGACCCATTTCCAAAGACATTAGCCACGAACTCCGGTGCTTGGGATGGTGAGTAGATCAAGCCTGTAGCTCCGAATACGGTTGCGTGAGTGCTATTCGGTGCGGTGGCGCCTTCCCCAGCGGTGAAAAGGGATGTCAATCCTCTCTGGTAATAACGCGTCAGATAAACGGATTAACGATGGTGGGTTGTTTAGGATTAGGTCGGAGCCATAGCTAATATTTTCCTCAGGAATCTACATTTATATGGGTGGTGTTGCATTCCAGCAACTCTGCATTCTGGTATTCGCCTTCTTCGCCATCCAGTTTCATCGGACACTCCTTCAACAAATTCGACAAGGTGTGGAGGGAGCCTCAAGTGCATTGCCATCATTGTACGCGGTATATGCAGTACTGCTACTTATCTCGGTAAGATGATCGATCCCCTTTACAAGCCCAGGCACTAACTCTACGGAAAAAGTTGAGAATTGACTTCCGTCTCGCCGAATACGCCCATGGGTTCCGGAGCGCCATTCCTACACACGAGGCATACCAATACGGCCTAGACTCTGTGCCTATGCTATTTGCCCTGGTCACACTCAACGTCGTCTATCCAGGGCGCATCATGCCTGGAAAAGAAAGTGATCTTCCTAGTCGCAAAGAGAGAAAAGTACAGGGCATACATCACAAATCTCGACAAGCTAGCGAGAGTATTGATTCGACAGTATAATTTAAGGGACTTGCTTTTTAGTCGAGCAATATAGCAGCAAGGTCATTGAGATTTGATAAGGAAGTTAGAATTATATATACAGTAATATGTGAAATTGGTTGCCTGTAAATACTTCTCCATAATTCCATTGGACTAGATCAGTTATGGCTAGCTTAATTTTTTAAACTTGGCTAATTCCACGTGAAAGTCGATCTAGTAAAATATTCAACTCCTCTCGGTGGTAGTAGCTATATATATGTTTATATCATAAACCTCACTCAACCCTAACACAGCTCTTTACTCAAACAAAAACACCACTCGCATCATGTGACAGGACAGACTTGCTGACGCGGATTGATTGGCCACGGGTTAAGTGGGATACGAATCCGCATAGGGCTGTGTAAGATGCGTCAGCGTCAATATCCGCGAGAACTGCTTTGATCTTCTACCTAATAGTGTTGCACAACTGCTGTGAAGCCCGTGATCGGATACCGATTGACACAGGCCATCTTATAGCCTTCCTTGGGCCCAGTACTGTGTATATCCCACGACAGCATCGAGAACTGCCACCCCCCGAGATGACCCGTGTTGCCGCAGACCAACGGAAACGGTTCTATCGACCCAAAACCCGAACTGGATGCCATACTTGCAAGTTTGTACCCCCCTCCAACATTCTTCCTGCTCGCTTCCAATGGATTAATGCAGTAGCTAGTGTTGGAGTGGTGCTTGGCTAAAATTGTGGCAGAAGTAAGTATTGACTATTAACTGGATAATTTAACACCATTGAAACGAAACTAATTAATGGCTAGTACGGCGAGTGAAATGCGACGAAGCGAAACCTTTTTGCTCTTCTTGCATCTCGACAGGTAGAAAATGTGATGGTTGCGAGCTGAATACGGAAGTACCTCCAGACATTTCGAGTGCGGTACTAAGCGCAATATACCGATTTCCATCAAGTGAGTTTCTTGGTACTGAGAAGGAACGCAGGTCGTTCGACTTCTTTCGACAAAACACGGCGCCCCAATTGTCTGAATTCTTTGGAGGTGATTTCTGGGAGAAGCTCCTTCTTCAAGCGGCTCTGCACGAACCCTCAATTAGACATACAGTTCTCGCTTCAGGCTCCTTGCACGCGAATTCCGAAGAAGACGACGGCATGAGTATGCAACATTCTACTAATGGAATGAATAATGACTTTTCTTTGAAAAACTACAACCATGCAATTAATATCCTTGTTGGACCATTCTTCACGGAGGGTCACCAAGCAATCGACGTGTATTTGATATGTTCTATTCTGTTTGCATGCCTCGAGGTAAGCCACTCACTCATCTAAGTCAGATTCCTGCTCATTATCACTAGACAATGCAAAGTAGCTACGGCTCCGCTATCACACACATCCAAAGCGGCATGAAGATCCTACGCGAGGACATGTACGACGACGGAAACCGTCGAAATCAACATAATGTGCTTGGAACATCTGGAATACCATACATATCCATCGGAATGCTCAAAGAGATGTTTGTGCGTCTTGACTTTCAAGTAACCCAGGTAAGGCGTCCAGATTGCGTGAACCACGTTGTTTTAACCGAAATGGATGGTTAGTGGACAGAAGTGGGATTTATACGAATCAATGAAAAGAAACGCACAGAAACAAGGAACCTTAGTTATGTTCTCCAATTTATCGAAGGCCCGAGAATTGCTCGTTTCTTCCTGGCATGTGGCTTCTTACTCTCCAAGCCATAGACGGGATTTTACGAGTGAGGAGCTCCCCGCGGTCCCTCAGATCGGAGCCTGGGAAAAGAAGTCCATGAGCATCCTCGCGAGATGGTCTTCAGCATATGATGCCTACTTAATTAAACATTCAGGGTGACAATCTGACAGATACAAGGAGGAAAGGAAATGCGGCTTTGAATATCCTGAAAGAGCTTGGGTCTACGTCAAAGATGCTCTCACAAACGACGGTTAATGATGAAAGAGATTGGGACGTCTTTTGCCCTATGTTTCAAAAGATTACCTCCCTGGCCGAAGATATGGCTCAGGTTGACGTGAAGTCAACTGTTAAGAAACCGGACTTCTGCATTGAGATGGCTGTTGTTGCCCCTTTGTTTAAAGTAAGCATACGATTTAGCATAATTTTCCCATGTCGGAAGGTCCAGATTCTTATTAGTGGCAAAACAATTATTCCATCAAGAAAGTACTAACTCCAACACTGCCAAGGTTTCCTGTCGCTGTCGGGATCCTATTATCCGCCGGAAGGCAGTCACGGCTCTTCGAACCTGTAGTCGAACCGAGAAGGAATGGGATGCAGCTTTGACAGCCAAAGCTGCTCAAAGAGTTCTAGACATCGAAGAATCCGGGTTGCGGAATGTGAGAAGTTCCGATGATGTTCCAGACTGGGCTCGCATATCCAATGTATCCCTGGCTTTCGATCCTCTCGGGAAGAGGGCGACTCTGATCTATAGTCAGCGGAGAAGTGAGCACACTCTCGGTAGGCAGATAAGAAAGGAGTTGATAGAATAATAATAATAATATTATTATTATTATTCGTGGATAGACAGCCTCAGTGTCATCCAAGACAGTGAGTGCCCAGGACGGGGGAAACTGAGTGTAGCCGTATGGGCATCAATTATAGCGATGCATATCTTGTCTTGACTACTATAAATATGAGTATATCACTCGATATCAACAGTTTCGTTTCCAATCAAATAGAGATGTTCAGGTATAACTACCTAATC